ATCTACTATATGAGATATAAAGGAGAAAGTGATTTGGCTTAGGATATTAACCACACTTGTTTTGACCAAGAAAATCGCACTATGTATATTAACGTGTGTCGTTAGATCTCACAGGATCATGCCATGGACCCTGTCCAGAGCCATTTGATTTGCCCCTGTGAGGTTGAGTGGTAAGGATGCTGTTCTCTCTGCCTGGCAACAACTCAGCCTAGCATTCTATTCTACTTCACCTTCTCTTTTGCTTTAAGGTGTCCATTTTTATTGTCATTCTTTTTGCTCACTCATCATTCAGTATATCTTATTGCTTAGCAAAGATAATATAAAACCATTCTGTTCTCTGAATACTTTAGGTTGACATTACTACAGTTCAGAATGATCAAGAAATCCATCACATAAAGTTCTCTGTAGTCTGACATTCCTAACTAGGGTCTTTGGGGGAGGAGATATAGGTCAAGGTGCAAAACTGCTAATTCATCTTCCTTGACTTTGACGTTCCAGATATTGGGACTGATTTCAGATGGGCAAAAAGAAGAGATTGACAATAGTAGCCTGTAGAATAGAAGCCCTGTACTGGCTGGACAGAAGAGAATGGCCATTGACACATACTACAAAGGCACAAGTATGCAGAGAACTGCTTACATTTTGTGCAGACATGGTGCTTAGCATCACATAAAACATTAATATGTAAGGACCATAAACAGAGTGTTCAGCCTGGTCAAGCTGTTCAATATGCAGGAGATGATGCTGAACAGCACATGATAGATGCTAATGGTGAAGTATACAGGAATGCCTTCCATGCAGGGAAGTGGAAGCATTCAGTTCTTGAGTCCTTCAGGCAATGATAAGATGTTTGTGCAGAAAGTGGGCTGTAGAATGTCAAGGACTAAGTTGGGCATCAGTGGCCATGCATGTAATCCTAGCTACTCAGGTAGCTGAGATCTGAGGATTACAGTTTGAAGCTGGCTCTGGCAAGAAAGTCCAAGAGACTCTTATCTTTGAAAACAACCTACAAAAAAGCCCATAGAAAATACAGGTGTGGCTCAAGTGGTAGCATGTGAACCTTGAGCAAAAGCAGCTCAGGAACAGCACCCAGGCCCTGAGTTCAAGCCTCAGGATCAGCATATGCATGTGCATGTGTATATGCACGCATGCACACGCAAACATGCACATACACACACAAAGTGGCACACTTGACTTAATCTCTAGATCCATCCACTTACCTACAAATGGCATGATTTCATTCTTCTTTATAGATGAGTAATAACCCTATATATATATGTGTGTGTATATATATATATATATATATATATATATATATATATATGCATATTCCTCAGTGTTAGGGCACCGGGGCTGTCTCCATAGTTTGGTTCTTGAATATTGTAGCAATGGACATGGGTATGCACTTGCCTTTATTACATCCCTACTTAAAATGATTCAGATAAATGCTCAAGAGTGCTATGACTGGATAGTAATAAAAGACATTTGAATATGGTCAAAAGACTTCATGTTCATGTGTGGGGACACAGAACAATGAAGCCTGTTGAGACTGATTTGGGAAGGAGAGAAAAGGAAGATGAAGAGCAACAGAGGGAGTGAATCTGATCAAGTATATGCATATACAGGCCTGTCAAAGGTGAATCCCTTTATGTAACTAATTGAGACATATATACACAAACATTATCTACAGTATATGCAAGGGAGATTCCAACAGTGTAACTCCTTTGAGTAACTAACTTACAGTGTAACATGAATACCAGGAAGCTGTGTTGTGGCCACAGGCGAGAAGGGGGGCTGGGTGCATCTGAATGGGGAGAGGAATGGTGGATGAATGCAGTCATAACGAAAATCGTGACTGACAATATGACAAGTAAACTAAGGGAAGGGGAGGGGCAGAGTTGGGAGAGAGGGGGGGAATGATGATATGGGGAAGGATGGAGAGAAGGGTGTCCCTGACTGAGATGCATTAAACCCTCAAACTGATGTGTCATCCTGAAACCTCTTTGTACAACTACTTCAAGATAATAATAAACAAACGAATAAAAGTTTGAGAAGGTAAAAGAAAGCAAATGGAATAGCAGTGAAAGATTTAAAAAAAAGATGCAGAAGGATAGAAAATGTAATCTGAATGTTAGAGAAGAAGAAAGTGGTATACACTGACGTTCAGAAAAAGATGGGGACATGGGGGTGTAAGGGCCTGAAGAATAGGAAAGTGATATGTCTTAGAGAGGGCTACAGTATGGACAGACTTTGAAGGAGAGATGATTGCATAAAGACATGAGGAGAAGACTACAGAGAGTGAAGGGAAAAATCAGAGAAGTGGAAAGAGGCTCTGTGAGAGGAAGAGGAAGAAACAGAGGGGCAGTGTGAGAAGTGGACTGAAGGTGAGAATGGGTTGGAGGAGAAGGGAGAGAGAGAGACAGAGACATAAGAGAAAGACAGAGGAGAGAGAGAACTCTAGGGGTACAGAAGATGAGGGATGGGCAATGTGGTCACACAGACACAACGAAGAAAGAAGCATGAGCTTACAGGGATGATGATGCATAAAGGACCATGAGGCCAGCACTCCCCTAAAAGGAGGTGAGCCCACTGTCCAGCCTCTTTGTCTCAAGTACGTGGCAGTGATGAACCCATGTGGTTGTGTGGACGAGTAAGTCTCCAAAGGAGGTGTACTGCGGTTGCTGGAAGTATGCTCTGAGCTCAGACATACATTCAAACAGTAACTCCATCATCAATGATCTCTTTTATGGCACATGCTTTTTGCTTAATCTCAGTTTCTTCATCTGAACAGTTGCAACAGTTTTACCTTTGTTGGTGAGAGAGCCATTGACATGCAATTTTAAGTGAGATATAGTTACAGCCATCTACTCAATGGAGACAGAGATTTATCACTTTCAGTTTACATTCTTTTTCAAATCTCTGTGTCTGTGTCTGTACATGGACAGCCAGATAATAAATTGTCATTCCACTTTCCCACCAATATTTTATATCATCAAGTGTTTTCCTTCTTTTCAAATTTATTCACGAAGTATGTTATTACTATGCCATTTATTTTGTGTTTTCATAATGGTTAGTGAAAATGAGTGAAAGCACGCCAGTCTCTTTTATGTACTACTTGTTCTTTACTTAGTGTCCTATTGTTTCTCAGATTTATGTTCTAGACATGAATCCTCAGTTGCTTATGTAGATATACATTACAGATCTAATTTCCTAGTCTGTGGTTTATTTTATCTCCTTTTTGGTACTTTCTCTTGATTGTATTTGAGCAATTGTCAGTCTAGCAATCCATCCACCTACGTTTTCTCTTATGTGATAAATATTTTTCAGTTTTAGCATTTATACCTTTAATTAGATGTACGCATGTGGACATTGTAAGATAGGGATCTAATTTTATATGCATATTTGGATGATGAAGTTGTCTATTTCATTTATTGAATAATCCAAATTTTCCCAACTCTATGATTATTCTTTCAGGTATCATAATCAAGCAGACACAGTATGCACGTTTCTGAATTTGAAAAATGGTTATATCCTGAGAAAGTAACCTTAAAGGTGAGACCAGCATGGATTCCACTTTGCTAATCGTTAGGTCAGCTGCTTTGAAAATTTTCAATTCACACCCTCTTTAGAAATGGAATGGTGAATTCACGTGTTTGTTGTAGTTTCCTTAGGGGAAAGCTCTCACAACTAACACATCCACAAGTCAACCCTGCCTTCATCTTAAGTCATCTGGGAGGTAAAGGACTCAGGGGTCCACAGGAAAGGAAAAGCAGAGATGCAAAGAATCAAGGGTAGGGTTAAAGGCTTCTACTAGAAAACAGTCAGAAGGGAGCAACTTCAGAAAGAGTTAGGGGTATATATATATATATATATATATATATATATATATATATATATATATATATATATAGTATGCCTCCTTCAGAAAGAATGACATGTCCTATTTGTTAGGAAATGGAAAGACTTGGAAGAATTATATTAAGTGAAGTAAGCCTGGCCCAAAGAAACATAGGTCCCATGGTTTCCCTGATTTGCAATAACTAGTACAAGCAGAAATGGTCAGAAAAGTTGATGTTAGGCGAAATGAACTCCAAGATAAGGCTCTAATGTTTTTTCTTTCTTGCTAATATTTCTAACATACTTATAAGATGATTTCTTTGTTGCTTTGTATGTCCCTCCCCTACGGTATAACTCCTGTTTTCACTGCATTTGATGTTGGTATAGTTTATGGAGGGAAAGGGAAAAAACAAATCGTTTAAATAGGGATACAGGTGGGCCCATTGAAACAATGAGATATACAAGACATTATGTCAAAAAACGAACTTTCCAATATTGGTGCGGTGATGGGGGAAGGAAGGGTAGAGGATGGTGGGCGGGAAGTTGGGAAGGGATGGTAAGGGGAAACGAAGAAGGAGGCAATAATGCTTGATAAGAAATGTCCTCATGACCTTGCCCATGTAATTGTAACCCTTCTGTATGGTATTTTCACAATAATAATAAAAACAAGAGCTGGGGGATATTTGCATAAACTGCATTTAGGAAACTATGCAGGAATTCTGAAGCATCAGGATCAGAGCCTGAAGTATACCCAGCCCAAACAAGAAGAGCTGAAAAGGGCCAGGTCTCTGTTAGTATCTATTTGGGGTCCTTTGTGATTTATTATTCCATTTTGATTTTTAGTTAGTTTTATTTTGGTGTTAGCTTCATTAGTGTTTACAAATGTATAAGGATCCTCCATAAGGTCTTCCTCTGCCTAGCTTTTGATGTCAGCAAAATGGCCAGATCCCAAATGTGGAAAGAAATTTTGTAATGGGAGAGAACAGAACAAAGTTCACTGTGCCTAATTCATAATCCAAGAAAGAAATTCCTCCATCCTTTATTCAGAGTTGAGGGAAAATCTGTGGTAACTGTATAGTGTTAGAATAGATACTTGATGTGATAGATTTGTTTTCTTTTGGCATGTGGATTAGGAACTTGAGAATGGGTGCCTACTAAATGATTCAACTCCAGGACTCGGAATTAACTTTTTTTTTAAGACCTAGCAGCTTGAGGAGGGCACGGCGGATCTCTTTAGTCTTAATACTATATATGATTGGGTTAAGCATGGGAGGCACAAACAGGTAGATGTTGGCCATAAGAATGTGGACAGCAGGTGGGGCATGCTTCCCGAAGCGGTGTACCAGGGAGAGCCCCATCATGGGCACGAAGAACACCAGCACAGCACACAGATGGGAGGTACATGTCTGGAAGGCTCGTCGCTGCTCCTCTTGAGAGGCCAGGCCTGCCACGGTGTGCAGGATGAATCCATAAGACAGTGCAATGAGCACCAAGTCCAACATGACAGTGAACACCACCAGGCTCAGTCCATATAAGTTGTTGAAGGTGGTGTCTACGCATGCCAGGTGTATCACTTCCTGGTGGAGGCAAAATGAATGGGAGAGGATCAGATGTCCACAGTAGGGAAAGGCTTTCAGGAGGACAACAATCGGGATAAGGGTCACAGGACCCCGGAGGATGACACACAGGATTGTCCTCATCACTCGCTGGACCGTGATAATGACTGAGTACCTCAGGGGGTGGCAGATGGCCACAAAACGGTCAAAGGACATGACCAGGAGAACTGCCGACTCCATGAAGGAAAACGAGTGAATGCAGAACATCTGGACTTGACAGGCTCCGAAGTAGATGTGATGGGAGTTGAACCAAAAGATCCCCAGAGTAGTAGGCAAGGTGGACACAGATAGCCCCAGGTCAGTGAAAGCCAACAAGGACAGAAGATGGTACATGGGTGTGTGCAGACGAAGGTTGGTCTTAATAATAACCAGAATGAGACAGTTGCCTGAGATGGCCACCAGGTACATGAAGAAAAAGGGGATGAAAATCCAGTGTTGGATGGTTTCCAAACCAGGAAAGCCAGTGAGGTAGAACATGGGGCTAAAATGAGTAATGTTGGGTAAGACGATCCATTGAAGACTTAATGGATAGTGGGCTACCATTCTGCAGAGATTGAGCTGGAAATCAATGGATGGTTCTGAGTATTAATTCTTCAGTGTCACTACTCTCTCCATCACCATAAGTAACATTATGATCATCAAATATCCCCGGTTATTATTTACTACACTGCTGTCAATGCTATTCTCATTATGTCATTGAAAATCTCTTTGATAACACTATCCTCCCCAGATTTGCCTCTACACTTCCAGTTTTTTCTTTTCTGTCTCAGTCTTCTTTGTTGGGTTATCATTAGTCTTCACCCCTTAGACATAGTTTTTTGCATCATTGGCAATGTTGTGACCATTATTTCTTCCCTCAGGCAATATCATCCATGCCCATAATTTTATTTTGCTATCCATGTATTGATGAGAATCATGTACAAGCCTCCAAAACTTCTCTTTTGATTCCCAAATTCATATCTAGCAGCTTGCTGAGCATCTATATCAATGTTTTGTTCTAGTATCGGGATGTGAAGTTGGGCCCTCACACTATCACTTGGCTTGTTTGTTCAGCTGACTTTATACCATATGAGTCACATCTCCAGTCTAGCATTTTGCTGGTCCACTGTGATAGAAGTCACATACTTTACTGCCTGGGCTATCTTAGAACCTCAGTTCTCTGTCAGCATCCTTAGTAGCTAGAATTATAGGTGTGAGCCATTGGCACCTATATTTGATGCTTTCTAATTACCTCATAGAAATCTCAAAACTACCCATGTTCTATTTCCTTCTATTTCCCAGCAACGTTCCTGTTTATTTGTGTTGCTAGTCTCAGTTGTTTCAGACAAAATTAATTTTTTGTTCTCTACTGGAGGTAAAACGCAGTGCTTGTACATGCCAGGGAAATACTCTACCACTAAGTTATTTCCTCACCCCTAAATTAAGTTTTATGTTAGATTTCTCCATGTCACCACTCTAATGATCAATCAAGAATCAATCAACATATCCTGGGATTTCCATGAACCAAATACTTTGAGTCTGTTTATTCATGTTATCTTTATGGATGTTGTCCTAATTCAGATTACTAATACTCCCTGGATTAATTCCAACAACTCCTGTTCTGCCCTCCTCTAATCAGTTATAGTTAATAACTAAATGTGGCTCAAAATACAAAGGGATTAAATTGATGTGTAAGGCCCTGCTTCACCTCCTTTATTTTCTAACGTATCCAAGCATTTGTATTTTCATTCTTTCAGGATTCGCTTTTCTTTTTCTTTGTATAGCTAACTTCTAATCGCACTCATGTCTCAGCTAGTGCATTGTCTTTTAGAAGACCTGTTTTATTTCCTCGTATTTAGATGAGCCATCTCTACTCTGTGCTCTTAGAGTTTATTATGCCTTTACCCTTTGACTGCTTGGATTTCATAAATATTTACTGGATTTTGTACTATAAGACAGTACCTAGGTGCTGGGTAAAGTTCATATGTGACAGAGATAGAATAGAGACCAAGTAGCGATAGAGAGAACTAGTGATCATATAGTACAATGCAAGGTGTTGTAGTGCTATAAAAATTGTAGGCTAGTCAGGAAAGATTGCTCGAGGAGATGACTTAGAAGTAAGATTCCTGATCCTACAGGGCAAGTGTATGGATATTTTGGAGAACATTCTGACGAGGGGCAAGAAAAAGGTCCTGGAGCAGAAAGAAAGAATGAAGGAAAGAAAGGAAGAGAGAGAAAGGGAGGGAGGGAGGAAGGAAGGGAAAGGAGGGATGGAAGGATGGAGAGAAAGAGAAAGGGAAAGAAGGAAAGAGAAACAGGAAGAAATAAAAGAGAGAGAAAAGGAAAGAGAAAGAAAGAAAGAAGAAAGAATAAGGAAGGAAGAAGGAAGTAAAGAGAGAGAATGAGAGAGTGAAAGAGAACACATGTTCAAGGTTTTGTCTAGCTGCATGTGGAGTTGGCCCCAGCCACTTGATCCATGCCACATTGTAGTCACAGGGCTATCTGGAAAAGATGGACTCTATGATCCATTGCATTATTTCCAATCTTTCAATAGCTTCTCTCTACTGGAGGAAAAATCTATGCTGATAGTTCCAGTTAAATGGGTCATACATGATTCTGATACTACATAAGACTTTACACAATCACGTACACTTCTTATAATTATAAATCATTATATCCTTGCTTAAACGGGAGGAAACTATTTTTTTTTAAATGCAAGTAACTGTTCCAAGACCTTACAGTGAGCAAATGTCACCAGGGGTATGTAAGCCCATGTCTAGCTGATTCCAGAGTGTGGCTCTGATGAAATGCAATCAGCTCTCATAATCTGCACTTAGCCAGACTCTTTCTGCTTTAGCATCTCTCTGAATGCACCTCTTTTTCTTCCTAATCTAGTCAATCTATCTATATCATTTTGAGTTACCCATACCTAGTTTTCTGCTATATCTTTTTTGTGTTCTCACCAAATAAACTCATTTTTCCAACAAGTAAATGCTTGACCTAGTACAAATATTTCCACTTATAAATTTCACTTGACTTTCTTGCATAGAATTAGATAAATTCTTTTTCACACTTATGTCATTTAATTCTAATAATCATTAGCTATACCATTGTTTTTTATGTACCATCTTCCATGTTAGCAGCATTAAGGCAAATTTTCTGTACCTCAATGGAGCCAGTGCATATCCTGCTGCTTCATCATGGCTTATATATCTAAGATGCTATGCACAGAAACTACTGAGTTAGAATCATTTTTATTACAGGTATGTATGCAGCAGTTTTAAGCATAAGATATATTTATATCAAAGCACACAGATACATTTTATATTTAGAAAGAAAACATTTCTAGTTATTATATTCTTATTTGTACAATAGTACAAATACAAATACACGCACTATAAATGATATATACTTTGGATATCCTCATATAAATATGTTATATATTATACATTATGAATATATTTTATATATTATAAATTCTAACTTATATACATTATATATGTATATATTATCCAGATACCTACACATTTATAAATAAGTATGAGGCTATAACATAAAAGTAGTACAAATTCTATATATAAAATATAACATTAAATTATATATTTGTACTTTTTATGTCAGTACTGGGACTTGATCTTAGGGCCTGGTTATTGTTCCTGAGCTTTTGTGTTCAAGGCTAGCACTCTACCACTTGAGCCACAGCTCTACTTCTGCCTTTTTGGTGCTCAATTGGAAATAAGAGTCTCAAGGACTTTCCTATCTGGGCTGGTTTCCAATTGTGATGCTTAGATTCCAGCCTTCTGCGTAGCTAGGATTACAGGCATGAGCCACCAGTGCCTGGTTTATTTATATATTTTGTACAACATACATGATTGTATATTCCCTACATCATCTATCTGTATATTTAGAGATACTCTTCACATACAGGTACTTAAAACTTATTTTTAACACAAGGTTTTTTTCCCAAACCTTTTCTCTTAGAACTCTGTGGCCAAGGACATTGTCTACATATACTTTCTGTGAAAAATGAAACGAGCCATTGACTGGATGATGCACTCACCTCTCCTTCTGAATGGCTTTGCTTGGAGTTCTGTGCTCAGCTCTGTTCTCACTGGTATCTGGGTAGAAGAATGCACAGGGAGCTGGATCTGGTGGAAGCAAGAATTCTACAGAGACAATGACAAGAGGAGGTTTATTCCTACTGGAAAGGAAGTTATTAGGACTTTCATCTGGCGATAGGATAAGCACCACTATTCCATTCCCACTAAGAAACAGAGACTTTGCTTATTGGCCCTTAGTCATCTCTAATTACACTATAATAACAACACTCACAACAGAGAAGCAGCTGAGGAGAACCAGGACCAGATTCAAGAAAAGAGGGATTTTAGTATACCATGAGTAGTTAGCTTCATTTTTCTTACAAATATTCCCCTTGAATTTGGTATTTTTTAAAAATTATACTATTGGTAGAGGCATTTTTTCTTATAAATAAGAAGATATGTAAATAAATCTATGCAGAAACATGATTTCTGAGCCTGCAATCATGAAGAATTCCCTTCCCCTCAATGGATAGTGGAGCCTCTTTTTAGTAGTGTAGAGGGGCACTTTGGAGGGGAAGATCATATCCTCCATACTGAAGAAGTTATTAAAGTTTATTTTAAGTTAAGAAGATTATCTGTTGTGGTCACTGGGCTGGCACATAAAATGCACCCATGATGGCCGAATGAATGACTGTTTCATTGATGAGAAACATGACAGGTAGAGAGGAGCAGACAACCAGCCAGGCTGAGTGCATGGAGACCAGAGAGAGGGTTGATCATCTTTGTGCCAGTGAGAGGCTCATGGTCTGACTGGCCTGGTTGCCACGCAAGCCCTGGTGAAGCAGAGCTGTCAGCCCTTCCTCCTGACCTTCATAACAGAGCGCTGCCATTGACCACTCCTCTTTTCTAAGGAGAGCAGGCTCTCATCTGCACTCTGTGCTGCTTCTGTGCAGAGACTCTAAGAGAGTCAGAAGCAGGAAAGATTCTGTGGAGATTTCAGATTCTGTGACTTCATCTGTCAAGAAAAACAAGTAACAAACACCACCTAAGTGTTTGGAGAGACAGGGCATGGGATGGGGGAGGAGGGAGGATACATTCATATAAGGCTACTCAGACATGTAGGCAGGAAACAATTAGAACAGAGAGCACTTCCTTCTAGGCTCACTGTTCTTCTGAGGTACCCACGTAACTCCCTCTTCTGTTATATTTTGCCTCTTCTCTCTTCTTTCTCCCCCCTACACCACATACTCGTACACATTGGAGCCTGGCCTAAAACAAAACAGGGAGAACTCACCAGCAGCTGCTAATATTAAAAACATGAAGTGAAGTTTAAAAGTCTGTACTGTAAGCAGGGATTGTTGTAGATTCAAAGATAGGAATCTGGCTGGTTGCTGCAAAGGAAGAATTGATTCCCCAGTCTATGGGCAATAGAATGCTCTGGTTGGGATAACTTGAGCACAGAGAGTCCCCAGGGTGGAGCCCCCTGTGGACAGGAGCTGCTCACTGCTCCACCTGTCTCCCTTC